CCTGTCCGCGCGCAGCTCCGAACGCTTCCGGCCGGGCACCTCTGCGATCGGCGTGCCGCGGGCGGCGGCCCTGGCGACACGCTGCCTGGCGAGCGGATGGCGTGTCGCTCCGTTCCCTAGGGCTCCCAACTTCGCGCTTCGCGCTCCGCGAAGCGCGAAGCGCGAATAACTTCGCGCTCTCGCGCCGCCCCCTCAAAGGGAGAAAAGGAGGACGAGGAGGAGGGGGAGGAGAAACGAGGACCGCGAAGAGCGAAGCGCGAATAACTTCGCGCCCTCGGGGGAGCCCTTGGTTCCGCTCCGCGGGCCTGGGCAGCCGCGACAGGCCCGGGGCGTGGAAGCCTGGAGACTGGGAGGTGGCTCGCGCGTTGCGCCGGAGCGTGGTGGGCCAGAACTGGCGGAGCGACGTGCTGCAGAAGTTCCTGGCGGCATGTTGGCACAGTTCTTCACCTTCGACCCGCTCCCCCCGCTCGCCGCTCCATCCCCCTCCCGAACACACGCGCACACACACACACATTAGCACACACAACCACACAGACACACAAACACACACACACATACACACACGCACACACACACACACACACACCACACACACGCACACACACACACACACGCACACACGCACACACACACACGCACACACGCACACACACACACACACGCACACACACACACACACACACACACACACACACGCACACACCCTGGTTTTCGGGCGTTGCGGGTGGGCCACTCGCCACACCGTTGGGCGCGCGGCACGGCCCGCGGCGCAGCGCGCAGGAGGTGGACGGGAGCGGCGCTGGGCGCCGGCGCAGCAGCGGGGGCGAGCGAGCGGCGGGGGGCAGCGGGGAGGCGGCGGCCGCAGAGCGGGGCGCCGGGCGGGGAGGGCGGGCAGCGGAGGCGGGGCACCCGCAGGGCGACGCCGCGGCAAGGAGGCGGGCGGCGCGCGCCAGCGCGGCGAGCTACGCTTACGTCGGGCGTGTGCAAAAACGACGAAAAAGGGAAAAACGAAAAGCAAAAACATACTCCAAAGGTATCCCAAGATTGTCAAAACAAATACTGAAAAATGAGTCCCCAGACTATTTCTTAACGATGCTTGAATACTCCCCCTCTAGAGGGACGTGCTCGACGAAAAACTACCCCGAAATTCGGCGGGAGGGGCCTCGGCAGAGAGCCGGAGGCGGGCGGCCAGAGCTGGACGACCCACGGCGCTGGCGAGACCAGCAGGCCGCGGAGGGCGGGCGGGGCGGGGCGGAGCGAGGGGAGCCCAGAGGGGCGAGGCCCGACCGGCAGACGGGGAGCCGGCGAGCGAGGGCCGGAAGAAGAGGCGGCAGGCACCCAGAGGAGGCCGAGCGGCCCGGGGCAGCGCGGACGCCGAGAGAGCGGCACCGCCCGAGGGGAGCGGCGGGCCGCGAGGGCGCCGCGGGGTCGACGCCGAGGGGGGCCCGGCGGAGCGCACGGACATCGTGCCAGCGCGGCAGGGGCAGCCCACGCGGCGCAGCAGGGCCAGGGCGGGCGGAGCGAGGGCGAGCTATAGCGCTTTCGGGCGAGGCGGGCCGGGGCGAGGCGGGAGGCGCAGAGGAGGGGGTGGGCAGGCGCTGCGGAGGCGCCGCGGAGCGACGCCGCAGGCCAGAAGCGGGCGGATCCACGCAAGAGGCAGCGGCGGCGACGCGCGGGGCGAGCGCACAGGGCGGCGCCGCGGGGCCGCGGGAGGGCGAGGCGGCGCCGCGGGGCGGCAGACGGGTGGAGGCGCCCAGGCGGCCTGGCAGCCCCGCGCAGGGAGCGGGCAGAGCCACGCTCACAGGGGCAGGGCAGGGGTCGAGCCTGAAGAAGGGCGTCGCGCCGCCTGTAGGTCCCCCGGCGGCATGTCGAGGGCCGCGTCGGCAGCACCGCGGGAGAGCCCGGCTCCACGGCAAGCCCTGCGCAGGCGAGGCAAGCTGCGAATCAGCGCTGGGGTCAAGTCGGGCGCGTCCCCCGACAGGCGGACTTTGGACGAGACATAAAACAAATTCCCAAAATGCTCAACAATACCCCAAAACAGTCAAAACATCGGCCCCGGACCATTTTTTCAACTATGTTTGAGCATTCCCCCTTGCTTGAGCAGGGACCGACCGTCCCGGCATTCCTATAGTCATACCACGAAATGTAACAAAAATAATGTTCTTAGAACGTGAACCCGATGTGATGAAAACAAGACAGACTTCGCCAGAAATGTTCTAAGAACATTTCGTGGAAACCACAAGCGGTTCTTAGAACATTGTTTGGTGGGGCTATAGGCGAGCCAGGACGCTTCGCCGCTGCTTGACTTGTAGAGGGACAGGCCCGACGGAACGCGGGGGGGAGGCGGCAGGCCAAGGAGGGGGCGGGCGAGGGGGCGGGCAGAGGCCCAGGAGTCCGCCCTGGGCACTTTCTTCGGGCGGAGGGCTCAGGGTGCAATCCATATGGGCTTTGTCGGGATCGGCCAAGAGGGGGGTGTCCAAGAGGGGGGGGTGCAAATCAT